TCACAAAGCCCACTGCAATTGTCCAACCACCATTCGTGGTCCTCGATGCTCTGCAGGGGTCAGTGCACTGTCAGGTGATTTGCTGAGCTCCCTGGAGACACGCACAGTCTGCATGGACTTCACGTAGGCCTCCATGGTGACGTTGACACTGCCGTCCTTGTCCTGCTGATAGGCCCGGCCACAGAACGTCGCCTTCTCCTGCCTCGCGCGCCTGACCTCGCCAAAGTCAATATCCTCCTGAAGGTCCTTCATGATCTTGGCGCCCCCAGGGTCGCCCTACTGGACGCCCGTGGGGAAGTCGTCCACGTGTAGACACATGATCCCGATTATCGCGTTCTCCTTGTTGCTGATGAAGGTCGCCGGCTCGAAGCTCAGGCCGCCCCACCCGAGCTTCGCGGGCGTCTCGCGCAGCGCCGCGCGCCAAGCTCTCGCCGCGTCGTTGGCCCCGTGGATGCCCTTGTCAAGCTTCAGCAGGTCGCCTGCCCCAACGCCCGGGAAGGTACATTTTCCATGGTTTGCCGGAGTCCGAAAGCAGAGCTCGCGCGCGATCGCCTTGCACTGTGGAAAGGCCCCCCCAGGTCCAATTTGAAGCGCGATGCGACGCTGCGCGGAAGCAGCGTCATCTATGCTGAGACTGTAGGAGAGTCTCGATGTAGCTTGTCGTCGGACTCCTCCTCGCAGCCCCTTCCACATGTTCTCTCCTTCGGCTCGAAGGTCGTAGGGTCCTCGTCCGTCCAGACCACCATGGAACTTAGGATCTTGTCTGGGTCTATCTTCTCCACCGCTGATCCTGATATGTGGGTTGCTGCATCGTGCTTCCACCAGGTATCCCACTCCTTCTCCGCTGCACTCTGCACCTTCTTCCACTTGAGCATGTCGTCGCCTGGCGTCTTCAAATTGATCTCCTGATGCCTGTTAGTCCTTGTCGGCTGGGCGGGCGTCCGCTCGGCCGCGAATGCTTCAACCAGGAGCGGTGTCTCCTCCAGCTGCTTGACTGGCCCCGTCTGCCCCGTCGCGCGCTTGATGCTGATGGGCACGTCGTCCACCAGGAACTCCTTAGGCATCGCGGGATGTTCCTGGCGCTTGCTGCCCTGATGCTGCTCGGGTTGTCTTGCGCTCGATATTGCTGTCCCTTGTTGATATTATGTTGCTGTTGTCGGCGCTGCGCTGCTGCCGTCTCCTCTGCCTTCTTGCGTTCTTCCATATGCCTCTGGATACTGGCAGGTACTTGGAGTTGAGCTCGGTCGCCCGGAGCATCGCCCTTCTTGGTCTGCTTGAGCTTCAGGTCCTAGTTGACCGAATGCTTCTTTCTACCGCGTTTCACCTCCTTGGGCAGCTCCGGCCCCTCCGCGATCTCGCCAGTGTTGCCGCCGTTTGGAGGCCCAGGCTGTGGGGCTGCAGGTTGTTGGTCACCTCCCGGTCCATCTTCCTTTCCATCTTCCTTCGCCGATGTGATATCCTCGATGGCCGCGATCGGTTGCTGCGCCGCCACATCGTCGATGCTCTGAGGGTTAGCTAGCCAGCCCGCCCTCGAGCTGTCCTGAACCAGGTCGCGTGTCCAGACTGAACAGTCGCCTCCTCTCGATCTGGCACCCTGGTGCTGGTTCGGGTAGTAGACGTGCTTTCCTGATGTTGCCCAGTTGCTTCAGGTCGGTCTTGCCCTTGCTGCTGGACGCCACTGCTCCCAGGATGGTGTCCCAAGCTTGGTGTGTCCGACGTAATCGCACTCGTGAGTCCACCTCTGATTGGTCCTGATCAGCTGGTACTGTTTCGTACTCATCGTCCAACCTCTGCCGCATCGGCATCACGTCATTGTCAAGCACCACATCCGATCGTCTCTTTCTGCTGTCCGACTGCTTCGGATAACCCGCACCACCTTGAGCTGGTGCTGCTCCTGGTGCGTCTGGTTGTCCTTGCACTGGCTGCTGTTGTGGAGCTTCTTGCTGTCCAGGTAGCTGCTGATGATAGTCTTGCCGTCGTTCTGTAGGCTGTTGATATTGATGTTGGTCAGGCTGTTGATCAGGTGGTTGATCTGGCTGCTGAGCATCTTATGCTGGATTATTGTTCCCCTCGAAAGTCTATGAAACCTCTCTGTCCAGCTCGAGATCGGGCTGGGCCACCGTCTGAGAACAGGTCGGTGAACTGCATGGCCGTCACCTCGTGCTCAGTCGCTTTCCGTAGTAAACTTGGTGAGCTCAAAATCGGGATCCGATTGTGAATCAGCCAGTAGCCATTCTCGTCCTTGCCCAGGCACCGGGCAAGTCGATGGAGGATGGTGCACCCTGCTGCTCCAGTCCGGTGGGCCCGGTCGGATCCGGCGCTGCTGGCGGATCCGGCGGGCCCGGCGGGTCCGGCGAGTCCGGTGTCGGCGGGTCCGAGCCTGGGGAGTCCAGTGAGTCCGGCGAGTCCGGTGGGTCCGGCGTGCCCTGTGAATGCCTCCTCCGCTGGCGCCGGTGGGTCTGGTGAGTCCGGTGAGTCCGGTGAGTCCGGCGAGTCCAGTGGGGCTATATGGAAGCTGTTTTCGAACCTTGGGACCGCTGGAACTCGGTCCGGGACGCGCTCAAACTCCAGATCCAAGGCCCGACCTGCACTCGCACCCAGACTCCCCCACACTCGGATTCACACATATTTCATACTCAGACTCATCCGCACTCAGACCCACTCACACCCAGACTCAAGCACAGCCAAACTCAATAGCACACATGTGTGACCTATTCACACACAGACACTCCCTCCTCGCTCCCCTCCCCATCCTCTCCCTGATCAAGATCATTCGCCTGGGCATCGCTGCTGGCCGCTGGGCACCAACGCGCACAAGCCCATTCACAAACAGACCACTCACACTCCTATAAAGCTTAAACTCATACACGATCACACTCAGGCGCACACCCATATACACTCACATTCCACTTCTCCTCTCCGATCTCATTCTTGTACTCCTCGTCCTCCTCCTGCTGCCCAATTCCATCCGCTCTCCTCCTCCCCCTCGTATTCCTCCTTCTCCTCATCCTCTTTCCCCCTCCTCGCTCCGCTCCCCATCCTCTCCCTGGTCTTATATATAACAGGCTCTAACGTGAATCCGGAATCCGGAATTTGGAATCCGGAATCCGGAATCCGGGAATCAGGAATCCTTATTCGGGAATCCGGAATCTGGGAATCCGGAATCCGGAATTCGGAATTTGGAATCCGGAATCCAGAACCCGGGAGTCCGGAATCCTTGTATCTGGGAATCTGGCATCTGGGGATCCGGAATCCGGAATCCGGAACCCATAATCCATTATCCGGAATCCGGAATTCGGACTCGTGGAATCCTGGAATCCTCCATGGAATTCGGAATAGCATCTGCAACTGAATCTGGAATTTGGAATCCAGAATCTGGAGATGAGGAGCTGGGGGAAACGATTCTCGCCAATTCGGATCTCGGAATCAGAACACCGGGTCCGCAATTCGGAATCTTTCTTTTTGGGGCGCGGAATCTGGCGACCCACAGCGGCGGGAGACAGAAATTGTGAATTCGGATTTGAAATTTGGATCCCAAGAGTTTGGATGTCAAGGGTAGGTTGTTAGGGTGTTCGGGTGAATAGGGTGTTCGGGTTAAGAGTGTTGTGGCAGGGTTAGAGAGGTAAGGTCAGTGTTACGCGGTTAGGGTTAGGGTGTTTGGAAATGAATGCTCAGGTTCGTGTCTTACGGTTCGGGAGTGCGGGTTAGGCTTGGGGCGTTGGGGTCCGTGTATTAGGGTATGGCTCGGGTTCGGTGGTTCGGTTAGGTGGCTAGGATAAAGATTAGGGTGTTCCGTTTGGGGTTCGGGTGTTCGGGTTGGTGTCTTACGCAGGGTTAGGGTTAGGGCTAGGGTGCAGGGGTTAGGGTGTAAAAGGTTAGGGTGTTAGGGTAAAGGGTATACCGGGTTAGGGTGTTGGTGTAATGTGTTAGGGCTCGGGTGTTAGAGTCAGGTTATGTTTGTCTTGGGTGTGGGTGTTCGGTTTTACGGCTAGGGTTAGGGTTAGTGTTAGCGCGTTAGGGTTAGGGTTGGGGGGTTCGGGTTAGGTCAGGATTAGGGTGTTCGGGTTTGGTTAGGGTGTTAGGGTCAGTGAGTTGGGGTTCCGCCGAGGGTTATGGGGGTCAGGCTTAGTGTGCTTGTTAGGGTTAGGGTGCTGGGGCTTGCGGGTGAGAGTTAGGATTTGTGCGTTAAGTTTATTAGGGTCAGGGTGTGAAGGTTAGGGCGATAGGGTTACGGTGTTAGGGTTTGGGTGTTAGTGTCCGGGTTCGGGTGTCAGGGTTACGGCGTTCGGGATAGGGCTAGGGTTCGAAGGTTTGGGTTGGGGGGGGGGTGGGGGGGGGAGAGCGTCAGGGCTAGGGGTTCGCGGCAAGGCTGAGGAGGTCAGGTTCTTCGGGTAAGATGTTAGCGTTCGGGTGTTAGGGTTAGGGTGTCGGGGCTAGTGTGTGCGGACTAGGGTGGTGGGGCCCGTGTGTTAGTGTTCGGCTGTTAGTGTCGGGGTGAGAGTTCTAGGGTCATGGTGGTAAGGGTTCACGTGGTTGGGTTACGCCTTTGGGTTAGAGTGTTAGGGCCAGGGTGCTTGAGTCAGCATGCCAGGGTTAGCGTTGAGCGTTGGGGTTCGGTTGATCGGGTCAGGATGCAAGGGCTGGGGTTTTAGGGTTGCGGGTGCAGACCCAATACTGCGTGAGGGGTCTGAATGCGATGATAACCGCGAGGTTGTTATTGTCAGCAATGACGTAAAAGTATATGCGAAGATATCAGCAATGATAGGCGATTGATGTTGCTTAGCGGCACCTGCGAAGTGTCTACCGACACGCCCAAGCTCAAGGGCCCTTAAAGGATTGAGCCCAAATAGTTACGAAAGAGCATATGCTTGCTGGCATGCCATGCTACACTGCTTACATATCAGCACTGGCACGATTTATTTCACACTCGTGCAAAATTCTTCTGATCTTTGCATCTGCCGATATAGCGCATTTAGACGTGGTGATGGCACGTCAACGAGCTAAAATGAAACCAGGCGCACTGCGCGCTTGAAAAGTGAGCCGGCACTGGTCAGGTGTGCCTCGTGCTCTCTGGCCTGGTCCGTCGGCTCTTGATGCTGCAAAGCGAGACGTGTGTCTCGCAACACTGCCCTGATGGCACTGCCGTCCGATCGCTTGGTGAACTGATCACCGAGCTGCTGATCAGTCGGAACCCAAAAGAGGGGTAGTTGGCTGCGCTGATCGTCAGCGACAAAATCGTTGCTAACTTCCTCTTCTAGTGACTCCTTGAGGCCCACTAGGTCGAGCAAAAGGCGCCGGTCTGACGGGAGCTTGGAATAACCGTCTTTATGCATCGTATCGTACAAGCTGGCGCAATCTGTGACCTGAGCGAGCGGCAACAGACTCGGCGGGATGTCCTCTGGATGGGCATCCGGAATCTCTAGCGAAGCGAAAACACAGCGTGTAATCTGAGCACAGCCTAGAGCGTCTACTGCCGACATCGTTTCGGCTGCCAACGTAGATCTGCAAACTCTCTTGATGGTGCCCGATCTCCAATCAACAATTCCTGCTCGAGCTCGATCTCCGCGTAGTAGCTTGGCTTCTGCGAGAATACTCACGTAGCCAGCCTGCGAGCGAATCTTGATATTCTTGTCCTTACTGGTTGCCCCCACGGTCTTGGCGAGCAACTTGGAGATGGCGCCTTCAGCTGGCTCGTCAGCGTTGGCCCAACTGGCGTCGTGGTACGTCACCAGGCACAGAGGTCCACGTAACTCAGGGAACTCCAAACCCACGTCCGCGTGCTTCCGCGCCAACTTGATGAGCCTGTTCGTCTCGAGCAAGTCCTGGATGGTGGGCTTGTTCTGGGTCCGCTGCCCCATGGCCACTCCAGCTGCCAGGTCGGGACGAGTCTGCGATGAAAGCCACCCGAGCGCTCCGAGTGCGGAGCGGTTGTCCGAGAACTCGGCTGGCGTAGCATCTGACGACAGGTCCGTTTTGCGCTCCTTGCTGAGCGGAATCTCCTCGATGGTGTTCGCGTACTCGGTCTGTCGTAGATGTAGTACTTCCTCTTGATCTCGCCAGGCCTGCTTGCCGCAAAAAGTAAAAGGCAAGCCTCGCCAGTCGCCCCAGGGCAAAAGCTTGTGAAGCCTGTCGTAGAGGGCCGGGTACTTGTGCGAGATCCCCAGCAGCAAGTCGTCCACGTGGGCGACCACCACCGCACAGAGCTCACCGTGCTGGTCGTAGCCGTAGTACAGCGCTGGGTCTAGCGAGTGCTGGTGTAGGCGAAACACGTAGTTGTCGCTCAGCTTCTCCTCCACCGCCAGCAATGTCCGCTTGAGCTTCGCCCACCATTGTCTCGGTGCCGTGGCCAGCCCGAAAACTCCCTTGAGGATTTTGATCAGCTGCTTCGGGTTCAGCCCAGGCAAACCTTCGCGAGGCTGGGCCATGTACAGCTGCTGGTCGGGCTGCTCGTCGCCTTGCATGAAAGCCGCCTCCACGTCCGCCGCGTAGATCTCCAGGTCGAACCTCTGGCAGATGGTGAAGAACAGCATGGTCGAGTTGCGGGTGACCGTGGGCGCGTCCGTCCGCAAGTCGCCCTGAGCGAGGCGCGGGCCCATGTGACCCCCGACGCAGAGTCGGGCCTTTGCCTTGACCGGCAGCGGATGCTTGTCGGTGCGCAGCGGGGCGTTCTTGTCCCGGTGCACGAACCGGCTGGGCAGGACGAGGCTGGGCTTGATCATGCCCATGATCGCCTCGGACTCCTCGATGGAGAGTACCTGACAAGAGCCATACTTCTGCCACTCGCTCCACTGCTTGGCGGCCGCCTCCCTGAAGAGCTCCCGATCAGAGTCCTTGATGGCCCTCCAATGGATCTCCTTGTCGGCCTGCTTGCGCTTGATCCTCTCGGTCACGATGGAGGTTTGCAATACTAGTCTTGGAGCCGACCTCGAACGTTGGCGGGCTCCTCCTGCTTCGGGTCCGGCCGCTGCCTCCTGATCGGGGGCCGCCGCGCGGTCCCGCGAAGTTGCCCTTGCGGGCAGGGCGCCAGAGCCTGCGTGCTCCCTCTCGGTCTGGAGTCGCTTGAAGGCCGGGCCGAAGTCGCCGCTGTCCACTCCGTCGAAGGTAGCTCGACGTCGTCGGAACTCGTCAGGGCCGTAGGTTCGCTCTTCTTCAGCTTGTTGCGGTACGTCGGCGGGCAGCACCTGGATCTGCTCCTGCTGGGGCAGATCCTCGGAGACGTTCAGCTTGAGGTCGCTGTCGTCCGGGTTGTCGATGAATTCCCGCCACGCCTGCTCCATCTCGTCTGGCTTGACCTCGGGCTCGCCAGGCGCCGGGCGGATGTCCTCCACCTGAGCCTCTTCTTGTTCGAGCGAGTCGCGAGCCCGGTTGAGCTCGGCCACGGCCTGACCGATCTCGTCCCTGCCGTTCGGGAACCAGACGTCGTCCGGAGCGAGTGCCTTGATGTGCTCCGGGGCCACCAGCATGGCGTGCCCTCCTAGCGAGACCCAGCTGAGGTGTCCTCGCCTTGGTGGCCGATGACTACGCACGGCCCTCGCCAGATGCCCTTCTTGGCGTTGCGGTTGTGCTGGTCCCGCTGCTCCTTCTTCTTGACCTGGCGAAAGACGTAGCACATCTCGCCCACTGACAAGGGCGTCGCCACCGTGCGCGCGCGAGCCAGCATAGCTCGCCGGAGCTGGTCGTCGTTCTGCATCCTCATGAACGGCTCGCGCGCCGCCGTCCGAATGGCATATCGGCGGCGAATCTTCTCGTCGTTGGCCGCGAAGCTGTGGGCGCTGTAGTTGGCCGTGTCGTCGACTAGGTCTCCAGGCATCTTGGGGTCGCGTCCCAGCACCCACTGCGCGGGGCTGAAGCCTGCTCGCCTTCTCAGCGAGTTCTTCGCGCCCGATACCATGATGGCCAGCGTCCGCATCTCGTCCTCGCCCCTGATCGACGAGTGCTCGATCGTCCTCGCCGCGAGCTCCTTCCACCAAGCTCCCTGGCGTTCCACGCGACCGAGCTGCCAATGTGCCTGACCAGCGATGGGCAGCTGCACCGTGTTGAATGACTGGAACAACTCGCTGAGGGCGCCGCCGAACCCCTTCTCCATGTCGAAGTGAACTCGGTCGGGTACGCCCGCCCAGGAGGCCCAGCACCTCTCGAACGCGGCAGCGAACTCCTGGCTGGTGTGGCGATCGATCAGCGTCGCGACATGGAAGGTGGTGGCCAGGTCGACGATGCTGAAATACCAGGAGCTCTTGCCGTCGACGTCCTTGCGCTCGAAGCAGTCGAAGCCGACGTCGCCTCCAAAATCTTGCACGAAGTGGAGGTGCGCTGGTCTCCTCGCGCTCGGGCGCTGCTAGCGGCACACCCCGCAGATCAGCCCCTTGACGGCCTGGACGGTGGCCGACTTAGCACCTTTGAGTCGCAAACTGCGGCCCAAATCTTCAATAGACGGATGGCCCAAGTTGACATGGAGTCTCTTGAGCATGGCCAGCTCGGCTGGCTTGCAGCAGGCCGCTGCTTTCTTTGTGAAAGTAATCGCGCCGACCCCGATCCTGCCGTCCACAGTATCTTCGGCCCGCACGTCGTGAGTGTCGGCGAAGTCGTCTCCGCCGCCCATGGGGTCTGGGTCCCCATCGGGCTCGCCCGTCTCTCCCAGGGGCGCGGTGTCGTTTACGTCGGCGGTGGCCTGCTCCCTGGGCACTGTCACGATGAAGGGCGACGAGTGCGACTGGCAGTCCACCTGGTAGGCGCGATGCCTTCATTGCTGGCGAATCACCTGCTCCACAATGCGCACCACCGCTCTGCAGAACTTAGCGTGATAAACGCCAGACTTGCGCGCCGCCACGTTGTCCCCAAAGGTCTGGTCGTGGTGCTTGTGGCTGCAGGTGCGCTTCAGCTGCTCGAACTCCTTGTGGGTAACGAGCAGCTTCGCGGGGTGCTTGATGAGCCCCCCCGTCTTGTAGTGTCGAGCTCCGTACTCGCACATGTCGCACTTCACCTGGTACACGCGCTCGTCTGCCAGTAGCTCCAAAATCGCGCGCTGTGTCCAGAGCCGGCTGGTGGCCGGGTTCTCGATCATGGCCACGTCGCCAGAGTCGAGCTGGCACTTGAAGAGGTCGCGGGCCAATAAAAGGAACGGCCGCTCCGTCCCCCAGATCCGTCGGAGCGCCTGCCTGGCCTGCGGCGTCCGAAAGTTGAGGTGCGTGATGTTCGTGTAGTGGGTGCAGGGCAGCTCGATTGACACGAACTTCGGCCTTGAGGCGTAGTACAGGTCGTACGTCGCGTCGAGGTCCTTCTGCTTGCGTAAGTCCCATCCGTATTTGCGGTCGATCACCTCTGTGGCCGTCATCCGGCGCTTCCACGCCGCCTCGGTGATGCCGCCTTCGCCTCCGAACACCTGCATGACGTCCACGCGGTGGCTGCGAACGCTGTAGGCCTCCTTGACGTCCTGGACGTGGTCGACCACGTCTCGCGCAGCACTGGTAGCATGCTGCACCACGGGCGTGAGAGGTCTGGCCAGCCAGTCCGCGGTGAGCACCGCCTGAAAGGCGAAGGCGCTCAGCAAGCCCGTGACCTGGTAGAGGAGGCCGACGCGCTTGCCCTTCTTGATGCCTGACCGCCGCCTCGGGGCTGGCGACCCGTCCTGGCGGCCACCGCCGCCTAGTCCCTGCTCTGCTGAGGTTCCCGGAAGCCGCTCGGGCGATCCTCCTTGTCGGTCTCGCCCGCCTTCTCGAAGCCCATGTCGCTGGTGCCCATCTCGTACGGCTCCGGAGGTCGCTGGCGCCGATGCCCGGCCCAGCTCCCCTGGCTTCCTGAGGCCCTCGTAGTCGTAGCCGCTGGCGCCACCCATTCGTCGTCCAGCACCACCTCCTCGGCCATCGCTGCCTCCAAGGTGGTCTTGGCCTTCTCCGGGGGAAGGGGCTGCGCTCCGTGCGCCTTTACCCACCTGGCAAACCGCGCCAGGAGTGGGCTTGCCCGATTGTTGTTGAGCTCCAGGACCGCCCACTGCGCGTTGCCCAGGTCGTTCTTGAGCACCCAGCGGTAGTCCGCCGTGGGGTACTTGCCAAAGCGCATCTTGTCGGCCCCGGATCTGTGAGCTCGGATGAGCCACCGTCGCCGCGGCACTGCTGACCGCGTCCTCGACCTTCCAGCCCTTGAGGCGCTGCCTGAGCTCCGGCACGGGCGTGCGCTGGTCGAACTCGATCTGGTGGTCCCGACACAGCTGCTGGAGCTCCTCCTTGTTCTTCTTGCCGAGCCCCGGGATGTAGTCGTCCTGCGGCGTGCTCTCGCGGCCCTCGGCCCTCAGCGCACGCAAGATCACCCGGGGCTGGTCGCACGTGGCGTCGCGCGCATCCAAGTCGTAGCTTGCCACCTCGGCCTGCAGCTCCGGCATCCGCATGCTGGATATCGCCGGAAGACGGGCAGTACTCGTCGTCGGCCAAATCTGGCCGCTGCCCCCCGGGCTCGTCTCCTTGGGAGATGTCGTACATCGCTGGTGCGACGGGGGCATAAGCGCCGGCCGCTGGTTCGTGAAAAGCTGCGGTGGCTGGATCTGCCACGGCACGCGTCGTACTCGCTGCCGGATGGCTGCGGTGATGATGTAGTTTGATGACTGCGTTCTGATGGCTGATCTCGTGGCTCGCTACGGCTTGCTTGCTGCTGAAATCGAACATGCCGTGACTGAGTATCGCTGCGAGGTTTAGCTCCCCGTTCGTCATGATCGTGGTTTGTCTGCATAATCTGTGCTGTGCTGACTGACCTAATACACACTACCCAGGCCTCGTCTTCCGATCCCGATGACGATTGACGTGATGGAATGTATGCGCTCATGGCCTGGCGCACCTGCTGCTCGAACAGTTCGGCGCTATCGAGCGCATTGCAGTCAGTATCCGACGGAGACTCGTCGGCCTCCGAGGCAACTCCTGAGTGGCGAGCCTCGGGCACCACCGGCTTGGCGGCGCTGGCCACAGCTGTCTCAGCATGGTAAGAAGCGCAAGGATGAAGACGAATCTCGGCCTTGGTATCCGAGACGTCCAAAACGGGCTTAGAGTTCGGCGTGAAGCCTGTGATGTCCAGCGTCGGGTGTCCGGCGCGGCTCAGGCCCATCTGGATGTTGTGCTCGTCGATCGACTTGATGTCCAGCTTGTTGTCTCCGGCGTGGTAGACTATGTCCAGCTCGCTCTGGGCCTTGCGGCTGAACAGTCCTGGCACGGCGCTGCGCACGATGCTCATGCGGACGGTGAAGGCCTTGCCGTTCACCGAACAGGGGATCAGCGCCGCCTTGAGGCTGAACGCCACCTTCGACGCCCCGAACCGGAACGGCTCCTTCTTGGGGTACTCGATGGGCTGGATGTTGAAGGCGGCCAGCCTCTTCTTGATGTCGTTGTACCAGTCGAGGCCGCCGACGCACCGAGTGCAGGCCGTGTCGAAGGTCAGCTTGCCCCCCGACTCCTTCAGCAGGTCCTCGACGCTGAGGTAGATCCGCGCCGAGCTCGTCGCGGCCATCAGGCACTGGTGGTCCTTATTGATGAAGAACGCCGCCGCCGTAACTTCTTCGGGTAGCTCGGCGGCCTGGCGGATCTGCGTCCAGTCGATGCTGTGCAGCGCACCGTACTTCCTGTCGCGAGCCGCGGCCCGCTGGTCCTGAAGGTAGACCGCCGCGACCGTCATCTCCGCCACGTGAGGCTCCTGCGCGTCGCTGGTCTCGTGCGTGGCGATGTTCGTCCTGTTGCTTCCCTTCTTCGGGATGTCGGCCTTGGCGTTAGGGTCGTTCTTCTTCGAGCACTGCGGGCCACCGCGCCAATGGCCCTTCTGGCCGCATGCGCCGCAGTGTGTCCTGGCCTTCATCTTGGCGATCTTGGGATCGTCTCTCTTCGGCGGGTTGCCGCCGTCGCGCTTGGCGAAGTAGCCACGCGCCTGCTTCGCCTCCTTCAGCTTGTCCTTGGCGCGCACCATCTTCTTGGTGAAGAACGCTACCTGCTCCTCCGCCTCGTCGATCACGTCCTGCAGCTCGTCGGGCAGCTCGTCTCCGTAGTCGTCGGAGCTGTCTGAGGGCGCGCCGTCGAGCTCGGCCCTACGATCCTCCTCGTAGATCTCCGTGGCGTACGCCCGCTTGTGGTCCTTGTTCTTGTTACCTCCGTAGCCTCCTTTGTCGTGGCTGTCCTTGTTGCCGTCCACGACCGATACCTTGGGCAAGTTGATCATCAACTGCTCCTGGATCTTGGTGGGGTTGAACTGGTTGCCCACACCGTTGAGCACGCTCGCCGCGCGCTCCGGGGGCAGGCGGGCCCCCTTGATGTACAGGTCCGCCAAGGCCTCGTCGGGCACTTGGATGCCCTTGGCCTTCAGCTTGGTGGCGATCCCATTGAAGCGGTCGTTGTAGTCGCGGATCTCCTCGTACTTGTGCCGGACGCAGGCCGGGCGCGCGAAGGTCTCCAGCAGCGCTGGGGTCTCCAGCACTTCGATCTCGGGAAAGCGCTTCCCGAGGTACTCCAGGAACACCTCCACCGCGTCGTCGCCCTTGATGGCGTCCAGGTCGAGCTCCTGGCACGCCTCCTCGGCCTTGCCCTTGAGGCTGGCCAGCAAGGTCGCTCCCTGCTTGGGCGGCTTGACCTCGGTGCCGATCTGCCAGGTGGCGACCTCTCGGCGGTGCTTCTTCATGGTCTTGCTCGTGCCATCGAAGACGGGTGCGGGGATCTTGCCCCCGTTGCTCTTGTCCTCGCCGCTGGCTGCAGCGGCTCCTCCTGTCGCCATGATGGCGACCCCGAATGAGAGGTACAGTCGCAATGGCACGAGCCTGTAGTGCTTGCTAAATGACTCTGCAAAGTCGCGCACGTAGCTGCCGTGGTCGAGTTAGCTCCTGCTACCAATGCAGACCCAATACTGCGTGAGGGGTCTGAATGCGATGATAACCGCGAGGTCGTTATTGTCAGCAATGACGTGAAAGTATCTGCGAAGATATCAGCAATGATAGGCGATTGATGTTGCTTAGCGGCACCTGCGAGGTGTCTACCGATACGCCCAAGCTCAAGGGCCCTTAAAGGATTGAGCCCAAATAATTACGAAAGAGCATATGCTTGCTGGCATGCCATGCTACGCTGCTTACAGATCAGCACTGACACTATTTTTCACAGCGGGGGTTAGGGTTAGGGGTCAGGGTTTGGGCGTGAGGGTCTTGTGGTTCAGGGTAAGGATTACAGTGTCATGGTCAAGGTGTCTGGGTTAAGGTGTTAGGGTCAGGGCGTGAGCGCCTGGGCGTTCGGATTAGGGTGTTGGGGTGGGGGTGTTAGGGTTCGGGTGTCAGGATTAAAGACTTCTGTTTTATCTTGTTACGGTTAGGGTGTTAGGATTCGCCTGTTTGCGCTATAAGGTGTTCGGGTTCGGCTGTTGGGGTTGGGGAGGCGGGGTTCGGTTTATAGTCTTAGGGGTTTGGGTGGGGTGCTCATCCATGCCCCGTCCGATGCGATTCCAAGAGCCCGGACTCCAGAATGCGGGTGCGAGATGGGGAATCTGGAATCTGGAATCCAGAATCCAGAACTTGCAATTTGGAACCCGCAATCCTGAATCTGGAATCCAGATTCGGGGGCGTCCGTCGGGAAGAAATTCCAAGCGCTTCGCCGACGAAGCGCCCGGCATTTCACGAGGGTTTTCGGCGTGGTTTGGGGGGCCTTATATGGATATCATATATCTCGGGGGCGCTTGAGGCTCGTTTGGGTTCTCTTCGCGGCGCCTGGGGGGCTTCCGGGGGGCCCCTGAGGTAATGTCGGAGCGGGAAGCTTGACACTTGGGACTGTAATGAGAATCCCGGCGGCGCATCACTGGCCGCCCCCTGGGAGTTTCACGCGGCTGGTCGGCAGCCTCTTGGCGGCAGTTTTGGAGCCTCTTTGGGGTCTTTCGGGCGCCGTCTGGGGGATTCTCGGGGTCTCTGTTGGGCCTCTTGGGGGCTTCTTGGAGGGCTGCTGGCGGTCGCGGAGGTCTTTTTGGAGGCGAAATTTGGAAGTGTAATCTCGAGCGCTGCTGTCCCAGAAACCTGTCTCCCGGGGTGTCTGGGTCTCTCCTCTCGTTCCCTCCCTGTCCTCCGCTGCTCTCCTGTGCCCCCGCAGCCTTTGGCTTTGATCCCGTGAGTTCCTGTGCCGAGCGCAGAGTGCTGATGCATCTCTGTTTCAGCCCCCTCTCCCGATCCCAGTGTCCGCACCGCCCCCCGAGCCCTATCACAGCGGTAGGCGGGGCTGGTTCGAGGGCCAGGTGACGAGCGAGGACGGCGACGGAGGCGACGGGCAACCGGGCGAGAGACCAGGACTCCGAGATCTCGGCCCCTCGACGACCGAGGGGCATGTTGCGCGAGGCCGAGACCCAGACCGACGACGCAGACGACCGACGATTACAAGAACGAGGGTCTGGAGAGGCAAGCACCGGCGGCTGGCGTGACTCCAGCGGCTGGGGCCCAGACGAGTGGGGCGCCGGATGGGGCTGGCGCTCTGAGAACGGGTGGTGGGTCTCCGCATGGCAGTCCGACGGGAGTCGGGATTCCCAGCCCCCCGTTCTCGAGATTTTGGATCACCTCCGACATGGCTCGAGATTGAACGTTTAGAACTCTATCGACTCAACCTCACGGCGTGGTCGAAGCGAACGGGGCGCGAGCTGACTTCTCAGGGGCCACGAGTTGTCGAGTCTCTTTCAGTGGAGCTCCAGGTCAAGTTCAAGGCCATCCCCCCGACGCTCGGAGGCGCGGACGGCGTGGAGCGCGTCCTGGCACACCTCGCGATCCTGAACGGGGAGAGGCCAGGTGACCGCGAGCGGCTCTCGCACTCCCACGCGCTGTTCGACTGCATGATTCGGAAGGGAGGGTCGCTCACGGACTTCGTTCTACGACGAGATCAGCAGTTGACAGATGCCGAGACGAATGGCCCCCCCGCCAGACAACGCGAAGTCGCGCTACCTAGAAGAAGGGGCCAACCTCTCGGCTCAGAATAAAATAAATCTTCGTGCGCTGGCGGGCGGCCGCACGGACTCGACCTCCATCAGAGCGGCCCTGTTACAGATGGACGTCATCGATTAGCGAGTGTTGCCGGCGACGCCGGCTCCAGTCGCGAAGGCTTTCGCTGAAACGGCACCTCCTCCCCCAGGGCCCTACAGCGGCTACGAGATGGACGACGACGACGCGATCGAGCTGCCCGAGGACGAGGCCGAGGCCTTCCTGACCGCGATCGAGGACCAGCAGCTCGACGAGGAGGAGGCGCTCCAGGTCTTCGCGGCGGTGATCGAGGAGAAGTACGGCAAGGAGAAGAGACGGACGTGGACGGAGTCACGGCGACTCAAGATGGCAAAGAAGACCGATCGAGACTTCATCGACAAGCGGAAGGCGGCCAGACCCGGATTCAGGAAGCTCGGCGAGCAGGACATCAAGCGGCGCTCCAGATGCGCCAACTGTGGCCAGAAGGGTCACTGGGCTCAGGATTGCAAGAACCCCTACGTGTCGAAGGCCGACCGGCTCGCGAAGGAGAAGGAGCAACTCAGGAAGCCCTTCTCTGGGTTGAGCGTCTTCTTCACGAAGGACGAGGACGACGCCTTCTCCGCCGTGGCCCTCGACTGGAGCTCGAAGGTGCTGGAGTTTCTGTCGAAGGATGGCGATGTGCCGACGGTCGTGACCCTGAGGGATCTCGGATCGCACGCGCTGGTGGACACGGCCGCGGATCAGGCCCTGATCGGGAAAGCAGAAGCTGACACTCTCGACAAGGCTCCTCGAGCTCGAGGGTACCGCATCCACTACGACTGGACGCCGCCGAAGGGTACCACGGCCTCCGGCATCGGCGGCAAGGCGACCCCCACCAGGAAGGCCTGGGTGCCCACTACGTTGGGCGGATGCGGCGTGGTGGAGTTCCTGATTTTGGAGCAGGCGTGCCCGCCGCTCCCACCGGCGAAGCTGCTCACCCACCTCCAGGGCGTGATCGACCTCCCGGGCAACGTCATGGTGGTGACCGACTTTGGCAAGCGCGTGAGGGTTCCCCTCGTGCAGCACTCGTCTGGCCACCGCTCCGTGGACTTGGTGAGTGGCCCGGCCGAGCGCTTCCAGCTGGCCCCCGAGGTCGAGGAGCGGATGCCCGCGTCTCACCTGCTGGCGCAGGACCGCGCCGCAGCCTGCCCCGCGCGTGCCTGCAGTCTCCCTCCTCTCTCTCCTCCCTCCGAGGCCCGGGCTCCTGGGGTCTTGGGGACAGCGGGCCCAACCGTACGCTCTCGGCTCAGACCTCGGACGAGCGCGGTGGCGACTCAGGAGGCGGCAGCGCCCACACAGGACTCAGGCAGCATGGCGTGGCCCCGTGGGGCAGCGAGCTCAGCGAGGGGATCCAAGATGCATGGTCTTGCTTCGGAGTCCCCGGCTCCAGTCCGCAGCAAGCTTCGCGGGAGCAAGTCGGTGACCTTCGACCTCGCGGCGATGCGGGGCGTGACCAAGGAGGTGATGTGGTCCGGGCCGCCGGACGAGGACGTGAGCCTGGGGTGGGAGGAAGTCGAGACCGCGACGGGCCCAGAGCTCGAGAGCTTGCTGGATCTGGAGGCGATGTCCGAGGAGGAGCAGAGGTGGTTCAACTCGGGTCGGTCGCGCCATGCGAAGTGCCAGCAGCACTGGAGGCGAATGATCCTGAGGGTGTTCTGGTTTCGCGACGCCTGCGCTCAGATGCTCCTGGCTACCTTCACGATGCCGGGCCTGGTCCAGGAGGGGATCTCGCCCGACGAGTGTCCGCACCCCGCTCACGCCAGGTGGGAGAGCAACAACCAGCGCGGGGAGCGCGCCAAGTGCATGGCCTGCAAGGAGCGCATCTGGTACAGGCCGTTCACGGAGCAGGAGAAGATCGACAAGATGAACAAGAGGGCCTGCGCCGAGAGGCTCAAGATCGAGAAGAGGGAGAAGCAGGCCCAGCTGAAGATCAAGATGCAGAAGGAGGAGGTCAAGCAGCAGGTGGCGATCTTCGGGGAAGGGGATCCGTGGCATAGCTCGGCGCAGAGCTACCCGGAGCCTCCGGCTCGCTCGAGGATTCGCGCTGCCCGGGCGAGCGTCGGATACGACCACCTCCCGCTGATGGTGCAGGCCGAGGACGGCAGCTACGTGCCGTCGAAGGCCCCCCCGACGATGAAGAGCGAGCTGCGCCCCCCGCCGCCCAGGAGCGAGGGCCCCGACGGCGGTCAAGACCACTGCCCCGACGCGGCCCATGACGGTGCTCGAGATGCAGCAGGCCCTGGCGAGCCTCAACGCGACGATCACGGCCCAGCAGACGGTCAACGACCGGACGTTCTCCCAGATCACGGACATGGTGAACCAGCAGACGGCGGTCATTGCCGAGCTGAACAGTCGCCCCTTGCGCCTGGGCGACGACGACATTCAGCGCATGGCGCTCGTGGCTCAGGGCCTGGCGGCGAACATGCAGCCTGGGGCCCTGCTGGCCCCGCTGCCAAAGGAACCGCCCAGCGGGTGAGTAGCTCATTAGGAGAAAGGCTGCAGGAGATAGCAGGAAGAGGGGATCAGTTCTCGGGGAACATCTTCGTGAAGGATCTGGGAGTTATTTAAAACCGATCCAAGGGCAAGGAAGGTTTTCGCTGGGATTCTCAAGAGATCCTGGGCTTCTGAGAAGAAGGGGCCGACCGGCCTCTCTCGGGTCCCGAGCTTTGCAGTCGGGAAGGCTGGGCCCCTAACGGTGTTGACCTGTCCGGAGCGGCGTAGGTTTTTCACAGCGGTCGCTATGGAGACCGGTGGCGGGCTC